AGAGAGAGAGAGAGAGAGAGAGAGAGAGAGAGAGAGAGAGAGAGAGAGAGAAGAGACTTACCTGGTCGTTGCGGCAGTCTACATGCGTGTCGTCTTCCTGGTCTTCGTCTTCTGCTGCGCATTAGACTTCAGTGGCACACATCAGTCAGTAAAGGGTAGTATAGGCTAGTCTAGGCTGGGCGCAGAGCGCCAGGACAGAGGAGCGACATTGTATTCATTGTTGTGCTTTGGCGAGAGAGTGCTGGACACTTCTTTTGAGTTCATTGTGTGCTCTTACTTGGTGGAAACTCTGTGTACATTGCTTTTGGCTACGCTCATGATTACTTTGCCTACATCGTGTGATTGCTATCTGGATGTGTGAATATCACTCGCGCTCATGTTCCTTGCATTATTACTCTTCTTCTTCTTCTGGAAACTCTGTGTACATTGCTTTTGGCTACGCTCATGATTACTTTGCCTACATCGTGTGATTGCAATCTGGATGTGTAAATATCACTCGCGCTCATGTTCCTTGCATTATTACTCTTCTTCTTCTTCTTCTTTTTCTTCTTCTTCTTCTTCTTCTTCTTCTTCTTCTTCTTCTTCTTCTTCTTCTTCTTCTTCTCTTCTCCATCCCCATCATGAAGCATGTAATGCCATGAGACCTAACTGACCTAACTTGTCTTTTTTGTTTTTATATATATATGTTGTACCCCACGGTTGAATAAAGGTTTTGATAAACGGGGTCATAACAGCCATAGACAACCTGCGACAGAAAAACATCTACATGACAAGAAACTCTCAGGAATCACTGAAGACTCCTCGCAGCTGAGCTTCTGACATGAGTCCCCCCAAGCAAGTGAGCATGAAAGTCATGCCCAGTGTTTGAGAAGTCGAGTGAATGGGTTACCAAACACGCATGATTTTTCTTTTGATGCAGATACTCGTGGGGTACCAATCAAAATAACAAGAAGCCAAAGTGACATGCTGACCTCTCATGGCACAGATCACTCACCTTGACCACTTGGCCGGGGCTTTCTTGACCCTCGAATGAACATGAGAGATCAAACGAGCTAATGGGTGATGTCAGTGCATCCCCTGTCCGCATGGTGCTTGGGGATTGCAGAGAGCTGAAAAGTGGTGACAGACCAGGAGATGTTCCTCGTAAACGAAACAGCTCCTCCTTCAACTTTTGTCTCTCATCCTTCAAC